TACAACTATGGACAGTGGATTAGGACTCCCAAACCAGGTCCACCCTGGTGTTCAAATGATCAAAACAGACTCAGAGTGCACCATGCATTCTAAGCAGGGCCAGGCTTTCCGACTCCTAAGCTTGCTGTTTGAGCAATGTTTCAGCAAAAACACATATTGGATCTGTGGAGGAATGACACGCAAACATCAGTCGAGTGCGTCTTTGGAGACAGTCGTTAGCAGAGCTGCTAGTATTTAGCTAATATTTTAAATGTACAATAAATGAAAGAGAAAACAGGATGAATTGAGATATCTTCATATAAGGGATTAGAACGTGTTTATATATGTCCTATACAAAATACCAAATTTTTATTTGATATTCCATTTGCTTTCAGTTTGGTTGTGAGTATGTGATACAGTCACCTAAAATATTGGTACAAACATGGAATAAACTGACCAAAAGCAGAATTACCTTTTTTTTCCATTTGAATGGTCCATTGCTCATAATTTTGCGTTCCAAACTCTGACATTGAACTCACTTGGCAGTAAGTTTGAATGCTTGACATTATTTCTAGCAGTTTATCTTTAAATGGATCCTAAAAATAAATTATATACTTATTCCTAATGGTAATGAATATCATATTTGTTAAAATGATTTGCGTGTTATAATATCTGACTTGGAATATTTGTTTAGCTAAAGTAACAGGACAAGCTCTGATTGCCCTTCACACATGACTTCACTTCTGTGAGCTTCTGCTTTGCCTCTGCCAGCTACACCACACCAATGTGCACTTCTGCTGGAATTCCCAATGCAAAAGTTTACAAAAGTAAATGACTACTATGAGCCTTAAATGTGAAACGCAACTTAAAACATCAGTCATGTTAACATCAGAAGTAGAGTGCCTACCACTTAAGAAACATTTCTCATTGGACAACAGCTTTCATTATTACTTATCCCAAAATAAAAGGCTGAGGTAGTTGGATAAAAGTCACCTGAGCAAGAATATATCTGATTATATTTGTAGAACATTCCAGATCAGTCAAAAATCCTTATTTTAGAAGCAGAATATCAGTTTTTTGAATTCAAATATACTACTTACATGTTTTTTATTTTTTATTTATTTTTTGTGTGTGTGTGTGTGTGTGTGTGTGTGTGTGTGGTACTGGGGATTGAACTCAGACCCTGTGCTTGCCAGGCAGGCACTTATTCTACTGAGCTATCTCCCTGGCCCTCAGTTATCAGTTCTTTTTGCAGCACGGTGATTGGAAGGGGAAATGGCAGAGCTGGCAGTGTACCGTCTCTTGGTCTCGATTTTGTTTGCACACACGTGCGCAGTTTATGAAAATTCAGAAATCTGTTTAAGTAGAAGAATTTATACTTTTTCTCGTGGGTGTTACAGTTCCATGAAAAGAGTTTCAAAAGTTTAAGTTTAAAAGATGGCAAATTCTTTTTAAAAATATCCTGAGAAATATTTTTAATGATTCTAAGCAGAAACATGCATTTAAATTTACCAACTAAATCTAGATGAGTAATAAAGACTGAAAGTGAATAAAGTATATTCATTTGTTCCAGTACAATTCTGATAGTTCTCTTTTTCAAAAGTCAAAAAATTTGGCCACTAATGGTGGTTTAAGACATACAATATTTTTAATCTTTTTTTTTTTTTTTTCTGAACCGGGGATTGAACTCAGACCCTTGTGCTTGCCAAGGAAGCGCTTATTCTACTGAGACATCTCCCCGGACCCCAAGACACAATATTTTTAAATATAGTTTTATCTACAGTATGTACAACACTTAATCCCAGTATCCCAGTGAAGTATATTTTAATGGTATTAAAGTTATTATTAATTGCAGGTAGCTAAAATTTATCATGCTTTTTCAATGTTACAGAAGAAATCAGTGACTTAACCTGTTAGCCATAATGTCCAAATGACTCTCAGTTGATTTTTGTAATCAGTAAAAACATTCACCAGAAAGCACCATTAAATTTTAATTTCTTTATTATGGCAGTGCTTTCCCAAGAAGGTAAATTTACAAATATGCAAATAAGGTAGAATTTCCAGTAAAATTGCCAACTCTAACAAAATGGCTCCATGGAATGTCAGAAAACTCCATGCTGGAATTCATTAAGAAAGCCAAGTTGATTCCGATTTGATTTGAAACTGTCTCATTGCTATCTGTTTATCAATAAAACTTTAAAAAGAGAAAGCCAAGTTGAGGTTAAAATCAACTATCGAACTCCCTCCAGCTTATCTGTGCAACCCTTCCTTAGTTAACGCCTCCACGGCTCTTCTGTAATATATTACTACTCAACTACTTTTCTTACAGATAAGAAAATTAAAATAAGGATGGAGGAGAAAACAGTATTGCTTTGCTACCCAATATCAATTTTGAAAAGCACGCATATAGAACTATAATTTTTTGCAAAACTTGTTACATGATATTATTTATGTGGACGGCACAAATTAACCTTGCTTTCCTTCAACTTAATGCTGCACTGCCAACCAAGTCGACTGAAAATATTAAACACATACTTCTCTGGTGTCATCTGCAATCACAAACTTCTTACATGGCTCCTTTATTTGGTCTTTGAGTTGACTATAGTAGTCTTTCACTGTTTTAATGGTAGATGCATCAAGATTGGCACAAATCTGGAAAAGAGACATTTTTAAATATTGAAATACTATCTCCTTATAATCAATACAGTGTAGACTTTCTATGTAAGAAGCAAGTAGAGGGGTCGGGGAGATAGTTCAGTAGAATAAGCACTTTCCTGGCAAGCTTGAGGGCCTGAGTTCAATCCCTGGTTCCCCCCAAAATAAAAAAGCAAGTAGTATGTAATTTTTGGCATGTATATGTATATAAAATTTCTTGTAGATAACACATAATGTTACTTGCAAAATAAGGCATTGTTTGTTGTATTGCTTTATTGTAGATCTGATTAAACAGTCTTTAACCTGATAGAGTAAAAATAACTTCTAAATCCAGTTATTGGAAGTTTTAGAAAAGGAGTACTTTTCTTTTCATCCCTTAATTTCCACTTTTCAGCTGAAAATGTGACAAGAAAGAGCACAGCAATTTCTAGAAACTGGCAGAGAACAGTAATGGGATAATCATATTGTACCGTCACATGGTGGGTCATCTTGACATCCCTGGGCCGTATCACTCACATTAATATGCCTTTTCCACACATAAAGAAGCAGGACAAAGCTGGAAGCACATTGAGTACTTGCAGTTATAGATTAGAGTTAATCCCTAATCATGGTAGTATATTACATTGTGGAGACAATAGTCCTCTGAATCTTTTTTGTGCTAATGATTTTTACTGAATTCAACTTACAGGGACTTAAAATTCAAATGGTGTCGACATACACTGGGGCTGCAATGATTCATTTAATACTCGAGATCAACAGTACCACCTGGTAATGACCGTTCTCCACCTACACAGAGGGTTGAATTTAGGGCTTTCACACTGAGTTACAATCTCAGTTGCTTTTAAATTTCTTTCTTTTTTCTTATTTATTATCTTTATTTTATTTTATTCCATTTATTTTTGAGACAGTTCTCTCCGAGTCTCTGAGCTGCCTACGCCGGCATACCCTTGCGATCACCCTGTCACAGTCTCCCACAGTTCTGGGAATACAGGTGTGGTAACCGCAGTTGGCTAACGACTTACTTTTAAGATGTGCTCTTCAGCCTTGGCTTGCTTGGTGGCACCTCCAACGCCAGGTGAAGCTGTTAGACCTAGGATCTGGGGCAGGGGAGCCACTGGTTTGTTTTCTTTCTGGAGTCGCTTATTTTTCAACTTCTGTTTCAAATAGCGCCTCATGATGTTGTTATAGACGGCTTCCTTGTTGGTGTGATGACATTCGTCAATAATAATGAGGGAAAAGTCTTGAAAGAAAAAGTGTGTGGTTTATTTTCCCATACAGCAAGCTACAGTGATGGAAGTATCTGAAACTAATGCACTGAACTGCCGTGGAGACATTTTCTTAGCCAGGCTACAGCACACCCTCCTGCAGTCTGCAGAGAGGAATCTAACTATATAAGACACCTGGATGGGGGGGCTTGGCCTTAGCTCAGTTGTTTAAGTGGCTGCTTCCACAAAGCTGTCAGCCTCAGGTTGCTGTAGTTCGATCCCCACAACACACCAGCCAGCCAAACCACCCCTTAGGGCATTTAGAGCAAAAAAAAAAAAAAAAAAAGACACCTGGATGTACCAAGTTCATGTACTCTGATCATGATAGTGTCCCTGTTAGATGTTGTCCCTGTTTAATAGATGACATCCAGAACATTCACAGGGCTAAGATGTATTAAAGAGTGAGATTTATAATACTTTATTAAAAAAATTATACTTTTGTTCTTTAATAAGATATTTGGAGTTGGTAAATTTTATTTTGATCATGTCAGATAAAAACTGTATTATTTAAAGAGAAATAATTCCATCTTTTATTAATATTGCTTTAGTTATTATATTTACTTTTACTCTCTCTCTCTGCCTTTCTCCCAACTTCCCAACTCACAGAAAATAGAAGGCCAGTATTTTTTCTCTGCAGAGAAAAGGGCAGTTCTAACATAATCCACTAGCAAATAAATATATTTGGAAGATATTCCAAAAGTAAATGAAGAATCCAATGAGTGCTTGATTTAACAATGATATTCTTTTGCAGAACAAAGAGGCCTAGTTGGGGTGTGTGTGTGTGTGTGTGTGTGTGTGTGTGTGTGTGTATTGGAGATTGAATCCAGGGTCTTTGCACTGAGCTATATGGTCAGAATTTATTTATTTTTTAAATTTTGAGACTGAATTTTCTGGGTCACTGTGTTGCCCACATTGAGATTATCTTGGGATTCTCCTGCCTCAGGGTCCCAGAATTCTGGGATTATAGGCACGTGCATCATGCCTGTCTTTCTTTTCTATTTGCTTATCTCTCCCCAGGAAGCAGAGTTTTACTTAAACCTTAGAGAACAGAAGACAATCTAAATCAAGGTTAATGTTTATCAGCATTTAAAAATTGTTCAGCGAATACAGCTACCATTACTGAGAATAATATTGTTAGTAATTTTTTTTCTAAAAATGAACATTTCAACCAACCTGACAGCTGGACGCCAGCATCTTCTCCACTTTCCGAATTTAAGAGGGAGTTTTCAAGGATTTGAGCTGTACTGATAATAACATCATAGGATTTGACAACTTCTGGGAATGATATTTTCAGTTGAGTATCACCACTTAGTCCAGTAACATGATACCATTTCTTTAAAAATGGTTTGAACTCTTTGTGGAACAGCTGCTCAACTAACATCACCTTACAGACGAGATTAAAAAAGGGAGAAAAAGAGAGCAAGCAGTCAGAGCAAGACAAAAAAGGCCTATAATGTGTGAAATACTAGAAGCAGTGTTTATGTTATCAGCTAATTGGATGTAACAACCTCTTCCCCATCCCTTTATTCTTCTTTTTTTTTCTTTTTGGTTTGGTGTGGACATTGTACTTGGGACACAGACGTGTTTAAGGTATGTTTGGCACCTTTGATCCGCTCATCCATTCAGTCTAGCTGACCCTACCTAACAAGACTAAATAAAATTAAGCACCTTATTTTAACACAATTAATACTCCTCTCAGGAAGAAACACACAAAGTGATCTCAAGAAGAAACCACTCGCTTCTGAATGAAGGCTTTAGAGGGAATTTGATTCTGGTAAACCACGCTTCAGTCAAGAGTTAAATCAAAACTAAGCACCTGCACGCAGGGTTTGATGCCTGGGCCTGCCATGCCGGCCCCACCCCCGATGCGTGCTGAGGCGGTGATTGTGACTGGGTGTGGTGGTGTGTGTCTGTAATCCCAGCACTTGGGAGGCTGTAAACAGGGGAATCACTATGAGTCCAATCTAGTGGTGAGACCCTGAATACCCTGTAGACTCTTCCCTAAAATACAGGAAAACAAACAAATAAACAAACTAATGTTGGATAGAGAATATATTTTTAATTTTTAGAGCAAGGCTAAACTATGTAGGTCAAGCAGTTCATTTTCATTTTGTACCCAACAGTTCACAGGATCCTTGTGAGTTGTACTGCCATGGTAACTCACCCTGTTGTTTGCTTTGGGATCAAGCAAAAACACAATTGTAAGCTGATGTGGCAAAGAAGTGGATGCTTCTACCCTTTTGAGTTGATTGTATGTTGGGATGTCTGATGAGGTGGCTGGCTGGCTGCCTCCATGCTCCACCTTAAGACCAAGCCAGTGTACTCCCTGGATTTGGGGAGAGACAAGCCATGCTCTCCTGAGAGGCCTAGCTTAATAGGATTTGCCCAACAGAAGCCCCAGAGGGGTACAGTGTGGCAAACAGAGTTGGCAGGAACAGTTTCAAGGGCCAAATTCAACCAAGTCATGTTATATCCCTCTTAACGTGGTTACCTGCAATGTAATCAAGGGGTATCTTGTCACCAGTCTGCAGAATATATAGTCTCCACTTTTTTACTTCAGGTGAGCCCCATTTAGGTGTTAAGTAAGGGCAGTATGGTCCCCTTGGCTGAGGATGGCTACATATGGAGAGGATTGCTTTGCATTATTATTCAGTAGGTTTAGTGAAGGCTTCTAAGAATGGATGTAGAGAAGACAGTGATGAAAGAAGGAACATGGAATCCATGAACTCCAAGGGGTGCAGCGGACCTACGATCAATAATTAAGACTGATGAGCAAGAGAACATTACCATAGGAGGAAAGAGCAGTGAGAAAAACTGTCAGTGGTTTTTCTCTTCTCTCTTCAATGGTCGGTCTTTCTGGTGTACCTGCCGCAAAATCACTTAAAAGATTTGGAAAATGCAGAGGCTGGAGCCCTACTCAAAGCTACTGAACTGAGGCACTGACTCCAAGGACAGAGTCTTGAAACAGTCATTTAATGAAGCTCTCATGTAATCATTAAGGCTATAAAATTAGAGTGCTACAGCGTTTCACTCTTCCACAAAGCCACTCCTGATTGATTTTTCAACAAATACTATTTCCACTGTGTAAAACATAAGGAACAATCTAAGAAGGGAGTCAGGAAACAAAACAAAAGAAAACTCTGAGAAACACAGTAGGAAATGAGTTTGTGGGGAAAGAGCATCCTCTAGGAGAAAGAGAGCTCCGAAGAGTTGCACCAGTCACTTGTGTGTGGGTGACCTTGACCAGGTCTGAGTCATTTCAGGCATCTTAATTTTCCCATTAAAAATAATCTTGAAGGTCTACCTACTACACCATTGTGAAAATGAAATGAAGTAGAAGCTAATACAGTGCTAGTACTCTAAAAATTTTTCTGTTATGCCAGGCATCTCTTCTTTCTGTCTGGAGAAGTGGCAGAAAAAGAGGAACAGGTGACTTCAGTCTTCAGTAGAGAAGCATTTAGATCTCATCTCTGCTTCTTATTTGCTCGGTGACCCCTAAGAGGCCAATTGCAATCTTAGAGGCACAATTTTCTGGTGGGGAAAAATAGGATAATAATGAGTACCTCAGGCTGGGGAGACGGCTCAGTAGAATAAGCGCTTCCCTGGCAAGCGCAAGGGTCTGAGTTCAATCCCAGGTTTCACCAAAAAAAAAAAAAAAAAAAAAGAAAAAAAGAAATACTGAGTACCTCATACAGTAGCTATGTGGATTTAATGAAATAATATATACATCAATCCTTTATAAGTGCACTAAAATATTATATTGTATACATAAGCTTCTCATTCTTTCTAATTCATGGTTTCCTTGGGCATAGGCTCTGCATTTGATTTAGTTTTCAAGAAACTCATGCTAAATGATACAATTAATAATTTCTGCACTGTGGAGTATGATAGCAATGTAAAGTTTTCCCCATAAAAGTTGAGTCAAAACCTTCCAAAGGGAAGCATTTTCACATGTAGAGAACAAAAAGAAGCTATCACTGGAGACAGTGACAGAGATACTACAGATAGGGTGAGATGTTGAGAATCTTGATACTCACTCTGAGTGGCACTGACTTCCTCATGGAGGACACAAAGAAAGCCAGATGCAAGTCTGACATGGCTAATCGGGAGGTGTGCAGTCTCCTTGGAGCCTTTTGCTGAGATGTAACAGTGTTTGCCAAGAATCATCAAACCCAACTGCTACCAACTTCCACTGAATCCTACGGGGCTGTCCTCTAGCGTCTGAAGGAACCTGGAATTTAGCTTTTGTGATGTGGAAGCCCTGATAGGAAATGGGAAGGCTGGGAGCACAGGAGGTGTTCGCAGTTCTCCCTGCACTTGAAAGAGGTAACTCTGGAAAGGGCAGAGGAGATGAAAGGAAATCATTTTAAGGAGCAAGACTTCTCTTTTCTAGATCAAAGGGTAGAATACCTTGGGATACTGGGCTTAAGTATAAAATTTGGGTCATTTTGACTTACTGGAGATTCGCTAATTCGATTAAAAAGAAAGCTGAAATTATTTTACAATGCAAAGAAATGGGGCAGTTAACAATTATGGCATAAGGGGGAGAACTAATGCAGGGGTTTCTAGGAGGTCTGAGAAAACAATGGGGAAGCAGAGAACGCAGATAAGGAATTAGAGTTATAGTCTCACATGTTCACACAGGAGTGCAGTGAGCAACAAAGAGAAATTAGCACTTAATCATAGCTGTACACAAGAATCCCCTAGAGCTGATGGGTGGAAATTTCCTGACTAGAATGAAGCATGGAGCGAAGGGAATTTCAAGGAAAGGGAGGCACATTAGACACATACAAAACTAGGAAGCCTGAAATGATCAAACAAAATTATTTCAAAAGATAAATGTAAGTATTTGCATTTAAGCTTAAAATGAACCACATAAATATAAGTCTTCTGTAGTTTAACCAATTTCAAATGAATAGGAAGTTAAGCTTTTTGAGTACAGCAAGGTATGATGAGTTTGTCGATGTCAAGGGCAAATCAGTTATGGGCAGAGTAAGGGTGGAATGTCATCTCTCACATACTGCTATGGTAAGACCATGTCTGTAATATTTTCTTTTTCTGGACACTCTTTCTAAAAAGGGTCTAGATAAATATCTGAAGGAGCAGGAAAACTTAGAATAATGAAGAATCTGGAAACCACATTCTATGCACAATGATTAAAAGAACTGTGGACACATTCCATTGGGGAAAGAAAAATACCGTAGAACCCAAAAGATATTCCTAGTGAAGAGCTACTATGAGAAAGGAACATAATTCACTCTACATAATCAGAGAGGAAAGAATTATAACTTATGAGTATGTGTTCCAGAGAAAAACTTTAGTTGAATATATGTATGACTTTCTAACAGTGTCAGTTGTTCAAAGAAGGGCTAGATCTATCCTTTCAGGAGAGAGATTGCCTCGATAGCTGGAAGTTACCCAGAATAAATGAGAGAATCACTTTACAAAGGAAGAAAACTAGATCTCTAAGGATGTTTCTTTCCCTGATAAGAAAATAATGGATAAGAAAAATAATGGAAGGAAATGAATATCCTTTGGGGCTATATGGTTTAGAGGAAGTGATAGGGAAAATTACTCTGAGAGGGTATATGGTAAGGCTGAATTTGAGAAAATGATAAAATGATCAAATGGTATGAAAGTATCAGCTTACGTAGCTTTGAACCCATTTAACTTTATTCTTTTCTCCACATCTAGAACTTCTATCTATAAGTATTCTGGTCAGAGTATTTATTTCACTAATTATACAGGTGAGGTGAATGGATGGAAGAAGGAGTTAATATTTATTGAGTCATTAAATAGCTACACACATATACAATCTAATTTAAGCTTCAGAACATGATAGCTATTTTGTTGACTTTATGATGAATTAACTAAGGTAAATATCTAAACTGCAAGGTAGAAATAGGATTCTAAACTATTTTATTTTAAAAGGTGTTATCATTTGGAAAGGGAATATATGAAAAGCTATGGACAAGTGCAGTGTAATGAATGACCATTATCAGCTAAATAAGTAAATAAATGAAAGTGGAGATGAGTGTGTAAAGGAAAGTTATTTATGTTTAGCAGATGTACACAAAAAGCATTTTGAATTGCACGACAGAAATTAGTCAAAACATAGATTTTGAATATGTACTTCAGTACTGAAGAGCAGGTTGGGGTTAGAACCTGTTTGTCATAACAGAACTGCAAAACATGGGAAGTTTTTTGTCTTGCTATATTTAATGTAAATGAAAACATAAGGGAACAAAGACTTCCTTCTTGTGAACAGTATACTTAAATTTATTACATAAAATGGAAATAATTAATATTCCTGATCTATAACTTTATAAAGTAATAAATTTTCATTTATTTAAATAAAGTTCAAATAACTAGGTTTTCTTTTATAATAAAAACTTCAAATACAAGATATAAACTATCAAAGAAAAACCAGTTGCATTTAATGTTATATTTTTATAGCATATATAATCTTTGAAGAGTATTTATATATTTAACTTGAGATAGATAAACCAAGTATTCATTTAACTTACTATTTACTATTTCAACCATGTGGAAATGTATTCTGGATAAAGAGGTCTGGCCATTTTTTTATGTATTTATTATAGAGTCTACAGGGTCTCACTATGCAAATCGGACTTGTAGTGATTCTCCTGTTTTCAGCATCCCAAGCGCTGGGATTACAGGCACATGTCACCATACCCAGTCTCAGTCACTGTCTCAGTGTGCCCTAGGAGCGGGGCTGGTATGGCACTTCAGGGATTGAGTCCAGTTGCTGCATCTGCCTAATCAAATGTTTTAATTTGCTGAGCTATCTGGCTGACCTTTCTGGCTATCTTAAAGAGACTCTAAAAGATAATATTTGACCTCGAGTCCAAAGATATTTTCAGGTCACTCATGTTTATATGCAATGATAACTTAAATTAGGTGACATTAAAGTATATTTTGGTAGTATAATATTCATACATAGGTTATACCTATATTAACTTAATGTTCCAACTTTATGGAAAGAATTCCATTTTAAGGCTAATCCCTTATTAGTCACATCTATAAAAACTAAGTTTAAAATTAAAGTAAATGGCTTATTTTGACATTATGCCTAATGAAATTAAATGTCCATATTACATGGCTACTCACGTTCTCACAGAAAAGCTTTAGAATAATGAGAGGACAATGAAGAAGTGATGTGACTCTTGTGTTGTCTGAATACCTTATTGACAAGCACGATCACTTTCCCGGGCTCAGAAGCCTGTTTCTTCTTATCCAAGTGGTCCTTGGTGATGTAAACGGCCACTCTGGTTTTCCCACTGCCCGTAGGAAGGCATATGATGATATTCTTCCCTTCCAAAGCTGGCTGGGCCACTTCCATTTGGTAAGACCTGAGCTTCAGCTCCGGCTCAGGAGATGCTCTTTTTGCCACATTCTCCTCATCTGAAGGAAGTTAAAAGGGACCAAAAGAAACAAAGGGGCAGTAAAATAACTCCGTCTGTAACTGCACACAGGCCTCTGTGGCTTAGGTGACTTTTGGTTTTCTTTACCCATGAATCAGTGTCCTCTACCTTTTCAGGTTACAACCCAGGGACTCTATCACAGAAGTGGGGAAGTGGGTGTGTCCCCAAGTGAGTGAGTTAGCAGTCCAGAGGCCTGGGAGTGCAGGGGCTGCTGATACGTTTTCAGGGAGTGCGCAAAGCCAAGATGAATTTACAGAAAACACTCTGGTGCAGGATTTGCAGTTGAGGCTGTTATCGCATAGACTTCCTTTCCTTCGGTTAGCCATTATTCCTTTTTTCTGAGCCCTTGCCCTAAAACATCAAGAGGAATTGGAACAGTAGAATTCCTTAGTCCTCCTTGATCTGTATCAGAGACCTTATATCTGAGGAGGATAGTTTTCAAATCCCCTGAGAATACCAAAATGTTCACAGTGTTGCCCTGTCCCCTTCAAATAATATTTGCATTGCTTACCGTGCAATGTGAGCGTATCTTAATAGTTATTTTGTATTTTTTTTACATTTAGATCAATTTATTTCATTTAAAAAATATCTCTAGATAGGGGAAAGCTAGGTCACATAGGAATTATATGAAAAAGAATACAATAATTTAAACCTTTGAGCAATAATAATTTTAGCTAAGATGATTAATATTAATGCAACAATTTTTACTAAAACTTACAGGCCTAAACAAATTGTCTTTGGTACAGTTCGCCTCTGGCTTGCTTTTTTTTTTTTCTTTAATACTTGATGAAAAATATCTGTTCCAAATTATGCCTAAGATGTTTGCTATTCAGACAGATAGTGAGGTTAAGCTTAACAGCCTAGGTTGTATGGTAATAACAATTAACTTCTCTTCTGGAGGGTTAACAACCTAAGTTTGTAGACCAAAATTAGAGAAAAAGGAAGGCTGCAGGAAAGCCAACATTTTGGCCCTAGTCTTCGAAGGTCAAATAAGATTCAGGACATATGAGAACTTGTACTGTAAAGTCATGTAACTCTGTAGTGTCCCAAATTTTCTGATCAAGGAGATTATGGGGCCAAAGAGGAAAGTGATCGATGATGTAGAGTGTGCCTAAGGAGAGTCACATGGAGAGAAAACATTCTCTCAGGCTTTCACAGAGAGCACATTGACCAAGCAATGGCTGTGACTCATCCACATGGCTGACACTGACAAAGGATCTGCAATCTGTTATTTTGTATTATGTGGGGCACAAAGATGACAAAAAATGTATGTGTTTAGTACAGAAAGTCTTTTGATCAGCTGTTGGTTGAGTGTAGACATGGAACCTGCAGGCAAGGTTTGCCATCTAGGTTTGTGTGTATGAAAGACTCTTTCCTACCTGAGGAAATTAAGTTGTACAATGCAACATCCAGAGAATAGGACAGAAATTCTTCCCAAGCTACCCTTTAATTGCTAGGTTTTCATGTGATGCTAAGAGTAATCTTATTGTTTTAAACTAAATTCTGCCTAATTTTGCCATTTAGTTTTGATTTGTGATCTTTGCAATCTCCTTCCATGTAAGCCACTGCATCTTCAGCATCTTCCTGAAATCTAAAGCATAATGGATTAATAATATTTTTGAATAATATATATATATATAATGATGGGAATGATAAAGTAGGGTACTAATGTACATTAATTTTACAAATGTAAGAATAAGATTATTATAACATACTTTGGTTTAAATATATTTAACTAGAAGTAACCACATTTATCTATTTACCAAGAAGAAAGATCTAAAACTCTATAGCTTAAAAATTAATGTAATAAAATAAATATGCTAATTTATAAGTCTATCTTATGTTTTATACAATCACCAGAAAACGTAAAGTGACAGTTCTTACCACTATGCTGTTGCTCTTATCAATAATTACACTAAAACTAAACTAATATAATCCCATTAACTTCTAAAAACTTGCTGATGGCTTCCTTTCACCAACTGAATGATTCTACTTGAGTGAGCTGTAACTCGTGATAGTACTAGCTGAATAGGCAGGAAAAGTCACACCAAATATCACTTAGCAAGAACCATCTACTCACCTGCAGGAAGTTTGCTTTCTGTATGGATGAATAAAGACGGATGTAGTTCTGCTAAGCTATCAGCAGATCATCTGCTGATTTATTTAATTTACTGTGACTGTCATGAAAAACTCATAGAAGACCATCAGCATTTAAAAATGCACATTTTGCAAGTATTCTATCTGTGTTTGTTTTGAGCTCTGTGGAACTTATAATAGTTCATTTTTATTATATTTATGTAAAATTCACAGTCATTTAACAATGTTACTTCTCTACTAAATGGTTTTATGGCTAATCTAAATCCTAATAGTTCACCTCCATTATGATCATCTATCATGTAACTTTCCAAAAAGAATGAGAACATTTACTAGTTCATAAAGGAAGGTATATTTTCAGCAGTGTCTAAACCAAGGTAGGGGAGTATAAACTTGCAAAAATGTCATTTGATCTAGGAAATTTGTTACAAGATACCAATATATTCCTTTTGCTTAATTTCACAGAAATTTGGAAATTTCTGCATAGATTGTAAAAACAATAAAATTCTGTCTTTCTTATAATAGTTTTGCTTTTTAATAATTATTTCTTTTCTGTTTCATACTATCAAATCCTTGAGTAACAAAGTTAAAAAGCAGAGCAACATATACTAATTGTCTAAAACATTAGGGACCTAATATTTATCCAGGAACCTAAAACCAAGGAACCAAGTCCAATTAGTAAATATCAACATCACTTATGCATATTAGATATTTACTGTACTAAATACACTTAAGAAGAGGTAAAATGTTAAAAGGTTATTGTGTTCACAATACAACTCCAGAATCTCACTCCAGAACACAGTTGTGCTGTTAATTAACTGCTTGTGGACTACAAGTTGATGCATAGTTAATATTTGCTGAACATCTACTATCTGCCACACACTGTCAAATTATAGTCATTGCTTAGAAAACTTCAGTCTAGTGGCTCTGCTGCTGCACTAAGATTCTGGCTGGCTAGATAGCTGTATAAGCTTCTAGATTTTTGAATCAAGTTAAAGAGATTTGATGGGCATCCCCAAGTTTAAGAGAGAAGGACACAGTGGATATGGAAAAAGAAATGGAGTTGGATTCAGTGTGAGAACAGCATCCAAAGCGAAAGAGCTGGGTGTGTGTTAAATATTCAGCCTGGTTCTTGCTTATCACATCATCTGACATAGGGAAGGGAGAATTTATCCACATAATGAAAAAAGTGTTTCTCTTTTCTGTAACCAGAAGGAGAAAACTGGGATGATATCAGTGCATTGGGAGCCAATTTCCTTTATAAAAAAAGAAGTTTGGATTTTTGCTTGTTTGTTTATTTTTTCCTCTCTGAAAAGCACAATAAATTAAACACAATAATGAAAATAGTACTTAAACCCCACAAAGGCTTTGAATTACATTGCAAAACAATGATTGAAGACCTTAAAGTATGTTATGCTACATAAGTGGTCAAAAAATGAAGTAAAATGAGGTTTAAATAATAATATTCTATTGGAACTACACCATGTGGCAAATTTCATTCTCACATTGATTTTGACAGCTGAGTTATTCTTGGAGAGAAAAGGTCTGTCACTGCATGTGTTTGAAATCGACAAAGTATTCCTTTACCTATAGTGTGTAACCACAGAAAAATGCACCATTCCATTTGGATGAATATTAATAGACATTACCTTGAAATAGTAAGGAAATACTTTCTACATATCAGGCCAATGTGTGTTGACACAAATATTGCCACTTTTTGAGAAGCAGTATCTCTCTCACTCTCTCTGAAAATTGGTGATGGAAAAATATGTTTCTTAATACAATTAGAATGTTTAAACTTTAGAAGGACCAGTAATTATACCTTACTGTGGTAAAATATTTCCATAGGGAGCACAATGTGATTGTGCTGGTTTATTTCAATGGTCTTAGGGGGTACTATATGATTTCTGAAGAAAGATGAAAGACATCAAATAAGACATTTTTTGTCAACCTGAAAGGTTAAAACCTAATAGTTAGACATTTTCAGTGTTTTCATTGACTCATTACATGTTGATAGGTCACAAATTTACAAAAATCTTGTATTGAATTGATTGTTATTTCAACTACAGCATGCACCTGAGGGTAAGGAACTTAATATTTTTATTCTTTCAGAATTTTCTGCCCGCCATGTAAAGCAATTCTTTGCTCCTAAAAACTGACCATCAAATCTTCAATAATGTCCCTTGAAAATGTGTTTGTCTTAAAGAGGTATTTGTCTTTGAAAATGTATTTACTCTCCAAAAGTAGGCTGCATTTGGATTTATCACATATTTCATGCCACATTGAAGACTAAAAATCAGCAAATACATTAGTGAATGGCTCTAAATAGGCAAGACGCTGTGTACATAGAAGATAGGTTTTAAATATTTATTGAATGAATAAAGATTGATGAAAAGCCCTGACTTAGACAAATAAAAAGTAGGATGAGGCCCAGAAGCTTAAAACAATCGCCAATAATGTTAAATATTACCTAGAGTATGTTTTGAAATCTAAGATCAATGAAATGCAGCATGTTAATAATGTTAATATTAAATTTATTCTATGGTGATATACAAAGAAAAATCAGTAGAAATAAGCATATGGGAAGAACTTGAGGAACACTGATTGAATTGATTAGAAAAGGATTAATCCTTAGAAATTATAATTAAAGTTATGGCTGATTTTGGTGAATTGGCTTTCTTCAGACTACTGCAACTTATTCTAAGTGATTCAGGACTGTGATTGTGAAAAAATAAATAACTAGAAGCAATATTCAAATCCAATGTAGAACATTCTTAGGGCAGATGACCACCTTTACGTGAACAGTTTTTCTCTGTTAAGCTTCTTTTTTTGGTCCATATTTAGGTCATTCTGATGGTTTATGGTGATCTGGAATTGTACAATTTTTTTAAAGAGAAAAGAAGTCCATAACAACTAAAGACTAAAATAATTTGTCTCTTCCTTTGCCAATCTTCCACTGCTTCTATATTTGGACACATTACAAAGCATTTTTGTTTGTGATGCATTAGCAATAATTATGAATTATTTAAGACATAGATGCAAATATAGAGCTGTGCATAAAAGATATGCCATAACCCATCATTCATACTTAAGGGATGATAATGTGTCAGCCCAGTCCTAATCATGGAATATACATTCAAGCAATGGGAAGAACTAGTGTGACCTTACCAAACTGCCAAGTGGGAAATCTGACAGGAAGAAGTATTGATGGAGGGGCCTGGGTTGAGAACAGGTGCTCTTAGTCATTGTTGGTGTGATACACAACCACCACGGAGAGCGATTCGGAAATACCTAGTGACATTTGCATTTAGTGAACAGACTATTTTATAAGCTCTACTCTTATTTAAAAGCTACATGTACAAACCATAGCTCTTAACTGAATAGTTTCTAGCTCTTTTTAAGAGGGGTCTCATTTGTTATCTACAGCCATTCCTTTTATTGACAGCATTTTTTTTTTTTAATTTAAAATGAATTCTAATAAAAAGCAGCATTTTGAGAGAGTTAAATTACTGATTGCATACAGAGCTTAAGTGTGGTCCAAATTAACTGAAACAGATATCATGAATAAAGTTGATGACATGGTTTTATGAAATGTGGTATATACCAGGCCAAAAAATACATATATATGTAGTGGATGAAAATTAGAGTTTGGTTCTAAGACTTTTCTAAGTTGCACTTTTAAATAAAGTAAATGGAAAAATTCCAGAATGACTCAGTGTAGAAAAGAATTGCTTTAATTGCATCAATACATTAGGGAGGGTACGAACAGCCCCCACACATTCCACTCTATGGTGTCTTATTTCACACTTGTTAAGGTTTACACAACAGTTAGGCAGTACCTGAATCACTGCCCATGTTGCTGTTATGTCCAAGACTTTCATCTAAGCAGCTGACACTTCCTTCTGCCAAACTTGTGTCTGATTCTGCAAAGGAAAACATTTTAAAATATTTTTAAAATATTTCTAAGAATAAACGTATTTTAGCTGCACACCTCTACAGCATGCAGCACATGCAGTTCAATCCGAGTGGCAAAGGCGGGCCCAGGGAGCTACAAACAAAAGGTAAGAGTTCCTGGCAGGCTACAGTTTTTTAAAAAATCTACTATGGATGAGCAGCTGCTGGATGGTGGCTCAAATACATATTACCTACTTAAAGTACTGAATGCCCAGTAAGAGAATTAATGCAAACATTTTTAAGGATCTTTTTGTCACCTCTCCACATGGATATTTTGCCCCCCACAGAAGAAAATCTACACTTGGTAATGTCTATTAAACAAAAACTATTATACAGAAACCATTGAGCTATTTTCATGTACAGTAGCAGTGAGCTAATGAATTCTAAAAGCTCTTTCTACTGATCAGTTAAAAAAATAATAGTTCAGGGCTTGGGAGATGGCTCAGTGGAATAAGCGCTTCCCTGGCAAGTGCAAGAGCCTGAGTTCAATCCCCAGTTCCCACAAAAAAAAAAAAAAAAAAAAAAAATTTCAGTGACAAACATTCATTTAAAACACCAGAAAAATTCTCAAAAAAACCCACTAATGTCTGGCTTCATGGTCACACTAAGCTTAAATGAGGTTAGAGATAAATGTTTTTCTTTATTGCAATTGAATTGATTTAAATCAGAGTTACAGTGAATAGGCATGACTAGTACCTACCTTTCACTTCATTTCCATTTTTGTTCAGGAGCCAATATCTGTTCTCCTTAAAAAATCTTTCCCTCAGAAGAAGAATTTCTTCAATCTAACTTATTTCCAAAGACATGCGATCTCACCCTCAAGAATTGGAACTAGTGTTAAAGCAGTCAAGGCAGGGCGCTGCGGTTTCTAGTGCTGGTTTTGAAACCAGAAAGATGAGTGAGCTTTGTTGTCGACACTGTTTTTGTCCTACCTTCCTCTTCTTTAAAACAGGCCCAATACCATTTACCTCACAGGATTTGGTAGCCATTAAGTAACATTAAGTATAGAAAAACCTGTGGAGAGGTAGCTTAATTGCTGATGGTTGGAAAACAAAACAAAAAAAATCAATTAATCAGTATAATAGTAGGGCAGACACTCCATCTAATGTTTTCATTTAACAGCATGTCATAATACTTATACTTTTTAGTATTATTTCACCCTAACGTTCCTCAATATACTAGTAAGTTCTATCATTAGCCTTTATTTATTTATAAATGCTGCCATCAGACACTTAGGGAGAGGTAGAGAAATACATGAGGAACAGACGCATCATATGCTTAACAACAACAAAAAATTCTCCAGAAAAATGCCATGCAACTCAAAACTACAAGTATTTTCTTCTTCTTCTTCTTCTTCTTCTTCTTCTTCTTCTTCTTCTTCTTCTTCTTCTTCTTTAAAAAAAGCAAGTTAATTTTTCAAGTCAGAGTGGTAAGAGTCACTCTGTTTAGATGTATAGCTTGATAAATATGATAAAGGTGTACAGCTTTGTTGGTACTAATATAATGCAAACATTTTAATCACCTTCAAAACCTCCCTGTAAGCCGCATGTTAATCAGTGCCCTCCTGGTATCTCTGGACAAATGTTAATCTGATTTTTATCTTCATAGTATTGCCCTTTCTGACTCAATTCATGCAATACATAATCTTTATGTCTGACTTCCTTAAGCTAGCATAAAACTGAAATGCTTCCATGTTGTTGTGTATAGATAATTTCTTCCTTTTTATTGCAGACTAATATTCCATTGAATATTTGTGCTATCTAAGACATCCTTTCTCCAGTGCAGCTAAAGCCTCTTTAGCTTGGAGGTCCAATTTCAGCCAATGCTGATCAAATAGATAAGACTTCTTTCTTAAAAATTAAAAGCAAGATGATAAAGTTGTGGGGAAATTCTCATTAGACATACATTCTGTTTAAGGATATTTAGCACAACATAAATACACTAATGTGAAAATACTGTGCTTATCAGTTGTCATAGATTAGCTCTAAAACTCAGATCTGAGGAATCCCTTATGATCACACAGGGAAACCTGTACGTCTCACTGAGAGATTTTAAATATGGCACTTTGCAATTCCCAGAGGTCTGTCTTGTTAGAAGCTCAGAGGCGAGTGTGGGATAGAACTGTCAAGTCGAGGAGTGTTTTGGGCAGATGTACTGATGGAAGGAGAATAGGATTTTGTGAGGAAAAGGCAAGGTGTAAAACGAGAAGAGGGAAATGTCACTGCAAGGAGAATAGTTCCAGATCTAGAAATATAGGCCAAGATTTTTGAGGCAAAAAAGTAAATTTTGACATGCTTTCATTTGCTATTTTAAATGGAGCATTGAGAACTGAAGAGAATATGAAAATTAATTTAAAAACCAAAACAAAAACCCAGACAGGAAATAACATTAATATCATTAAGTTCTCCATTAAATATGATAGAAATGGAAATTATATTATATTTTCACTTTATTTTCTAATCATTAATATTTAAACCAAAATCTTAAACCTACTCTTTGTTCACGTCTTTCCTTAAGCTTTCTTGTCATATGCATTTTGCAAGGGAACTGTTACTGTGGTGTATACACAAGTAGTTTATTAATAGTAAAAAAAGTTGCTACTCAAAATAAGGTATTATTAAATTCATTGTAGGGATTATTTTGCTCTCCCAATCAAATCTGCAATGTGCTACAGTTCACAGTTTCTGCAGATGTAATGCAAATTGCTTTAAAACTCAGCATCCTCTGTGTAGCCCCCATTATCAGGTCCACCGTATGGACTGTAATCAAGCTCAGAGATGTTAAGAGAGTGCCCACATCACACAGCAGCTGCTCGGACTTCGCATTTCCTAAATCCTCGGCCAGGGTTCGAGTGGATTTTTATCCAATGTTAAGCACGGCTGAAGAATTGTGTGAAGCTCTGTAACAAGCAGAAAATTCTGGGTCTGTAGGGTTAAGTGAACCGAAAGTTGCCTTAAAAACATGCAGCAGAGATTTTCATTTTAATGTCAAAATTTCCACCAAAATTAAAACAAAGTTTATCTTTCCAAGAAAAATAGACGTTAGCAAGATGATTATACTTTGCTAACATTTCTGAATCGATAATAGACTGTCACTAACTTTACATTTCAGGGTCCACGCTCATTTTGGGCACAAGTAAAAATGGAACACTCTGTCCTCATTGCACAAAATTAATTGGAATATTTCTGCTATAGATTATTATAAAAATAAAAGTGAATGCATATAGCTCTATTTCTTTGTCACTTTAAGTGACAAAGAAATCTCTAGCTTCTTCACACAAAAATAATTTAGTTTCCTAGGCAGCAAAATCTTACGCATTTTGATTTTTTTCCTTTCTTAGAAATATTAAGTACTAAAGGAAATATATGTAATAATAAAAGAAAATATGTTGTATCTCTCATAGTGCTGAAAATGCCTTCTTCAAAGATTTTATTCCTGCATTCGCTTGAAGAATCACACACACACACACACACACGCACACACATGCACACACACACACACACACACACACACACTTCAAGAAGCAAAATCAGTCAAGTGTTTTTGTGATGCTAAAAACAAACTAACATATTGAGTTTAAGTACCAAAAACTTCCTACAATTGATTTATTTGTGGTTATCTTGTTCTTTGTACCTTTCAAGGCATATCAATCTGGACTTCTAATAAAGTAAATCCTGTGTATGTGATTTCAAAGTAGAATATGTAAAACAGCCAATTGGTGGTAGGGTGTTATAAAAAACAACGGTGTTGGCGACACTATCAAGTGATTTGACTTTTTTTTTTTTTTAAAAAAGATACAGATAGCAGTTTTTAACTTTTGATTTATTTTAAGAATGATTTTGTTCAATAAAGGAAAGAGCCTTGGAGAGAAGTAAGTCTTAAATTCTCCTGACGTCGTGGCTTAGCAGCGTGGAAGATAGTAGTTGAGAGTGTGTCATAGATTTCAGCATTTATATGGGTTCTCTTTCCTCTAGGGAAGTATCTAAGCTATCTATGAATATACTAACAGTAATTTCAGTTAAAGAAAAGCAGTTAGTCACATCAAGTTCTGCTGGAGTGAACAAAAAATTACGCTAATTCAGTTAAGAGAATTTTCTCTAATAATTTGGCAAATAATACAAAAAAGAACAGTTTTGCTTTGGACGACAGTGTATGTGTAAGACCAATCCACGGGTCATGGAAAAAGACTGCCTGTTGAGAATTACTTCTTGAGTATTTTGCTATTGCGGGAGAAATATTAACTAAAACTCAAGGAATTTCATATTTATCATACTCCAGGTCCTTTAATTCTTTAAAATATTTTTAAATCATTTTGAAGCCAAACATATTGAATTTTTTAAAAATTCAAAAGTTAAAAAATCAAAGAACTCTTGAAGGGCCTTTCAAGCTCTATTTTAATGTAAAGTCTGCCCTCTGGTGGAAAACTCTGATTTAACACATAATGAACACATTATATCATGTTTATTTAGAACTAAGCTTCGCTGGGGAAAACACAGATCGGTCCTTATACTCCTATTCAGGTGAGGCCCCTCCTGTGCTTAGCCCGGCCACGTTTCCCACGCCATGCCTCGCGCGCCCTTTTGCCACCTGCCTCACGGACCACAGGCAGTCTTTTCTGAAAGTGGTTTCACGTGCCAGCAGGAAATGAAAAGGTAAAGGGCTGCGGCGCACTCCGAGGCAGAAAAGCTCCAGCTGCCTCACTCTCCAAGTGGCCTAATTTCACTTTTCTGGTAGCTGCGTGTTTGCTCCGGTTCTGAGCTCCCCGCGCATTTAGCAGGTGACCCCCAGCTCCCCCACCCTCCCCCACCAGTGTCCTGGCCCTCTCTGCCTGGAGCGCACGTAGAGCACACGCATGAGCACACACAGCCTGCAAAGCCTTCCTGTGCTTGCTTTCATGCTATTGCTAATACTGGGTTTCTCTACTTTTAAAATAATTTAATCTTTTCTCAAAGGAAATAGATCCTTTTTA